GAAGCTCCCCCACCCCATCCTAATAAATTCTCCTTCCTCTAACAAAGTTGTCTGAGTGTCCAATTTCCTCTGTCGGGTGTCACTTCCTACAACACACTATCTAGAGAGAGTTTGAAACTTGCCTTTAAGAGTTGTAGGTGTAGATGTGATCTAACGAACCCAGAAAATGCAACAAGGAGGCAAGTCACCTCAGTTAGCTTGCATGGAAGTGGCTATGTGAAGATCTGCCTGACAAGAGACAAAACCACCAAGCCATTCAGGAACAAATGCTCAAACCTAAAACCTAAAAATACGTCTGCAGACTTCGTGGTTCTGGGGCAACAACTTTGGATAAAGAAGAAGGATGTGGGGACTGAACAGGTGACTTCTTAGATGAGACAGAAGAACAAGGTTTATTAACCCTTTAAGAAGAGCAGCTAGAGAGAGACAAAAGCAAGGCCGAGCAAACGACGCAGTGGTCTTCTGTGGATGGGGGCTCTTTCTGCTGTTGATGGCCAGCATGAAAGCACATAGGCAGAGGACTCCAGCATGGAGCCTGCAGCAGTAGCTCTGAAACATGTTCTCTGGTGATGAGCAGTAAAAGGAAAAGGGATGAATGGCCTTAACGTAGTTAAGCTGGACATTGCAGTATGGGGGAGGCAGGGAAGGAAGAAGCGCAGGAGATATAGGAGATGAAGAGGGGATGAGCCCCTGGTCTATGCCAGATAATGGACAAGGTACTTGCTAGCAGTTATCTCATCTAATTCTCACAGAACAGGAAGTCTACATATCCCACTGAGTTGTTGAAAAGAATACCTCAGAGGATGCACCCAAAGAGCATTTAGCACGTGTCTGCTAAATGTTAGGTATTACTATTATTAATGTTACCATTCTCTTTACTTTGTAGCTCACAGGACTCCATAATTCTCATGACTGTAATTAAATGATACGTGTATATTGTGTCTTGCCTACCAGACTGTCATTTCCAGAGGGCTAATTTCCAGAGAGCAGAAGCGTAATATGTCTTGCTCAGGATCTCAGAGTTCAGCACATGCTTGGCATGTAGAAAGTGCTCCATGCTGAAGTGCTGAGCCAATGTATGGAATGTCAGAGGTTAGAAAGGGGCTACAGAAAGCATCTGGTGCCATGCTGCTATACAGATGGGGAAACTGACACCCAGACTTGGACTTACCCAAGATCCCATGGCTAGGAGTGGAAGATTCAGGCAGCAATGAGGCTCCCTGACTCCATGGGAGGCAGAAGCCTAGAAGCCACCATCAGCTCTCACACCAGCCCTGCCCCCACAAGAAACCCACACAGGCTCATTTGCCTAGATCAACAACAACAGCAAGAAGACTCTGGAGTACATGAAAATAAAAAGCACACCACTCCCTCCTGACCCCACCCTTCTCCCCCCGACACTGTCCTGCGTTCAGGCAGCTTCCACTGTTGATGTGCATGGACCTCTTGCTTATGAGATCCTAGAGAGTTTCATGGTGACAGCTTAGCCACATTGAGCATCAGGAGGCTATCATGAGCAAGCCACCAAGTCACTGGTCAGACCTTGTAGGCCAGGGCAGTGAGTGCTCTGATAGTAAGACAATAACAGGCATGGCAAAGACAGAAGGAAGGGGTAGTCAGTGCTGTGGAGTGAGGAGGGGGTTAAGGAAGACTTTGAAGATGACAATATTTGAGCTGAGCATCCAAGGATGAATTCATGATCCGCTAGGCAGGTAGAAGAAGGGCAATGGAGAGTGGGGAGAAGGAATAGCACATGCAAAGGCACAGAGGTTTGCTTGAGATTCAGAAGATGAAGCAGGCTAGGTGGCGGGAAGCCTTGCTAGTCATGCTAGGGGGTATTGGTCTTCTCCAGAGGGCAATGGCAGCTCTGCAGGGTTTGCAGTTGAAAAGTGACTTGCTCTGATTTGTTGTCTTTCATCACCATGACAGCAGGAGAGGGGTTGGACTGGGAGTGGGGGGAGGCTGGAGGCTAGAGGCTGGAGGCAGGAGCCTCCCACTGAGGCCAAACTCTAAAGCCCAAAAGCTATTGCCCCAAATGGTAGACTCAGACTCAAGAAGGACCAAGTGTCTGCTTTGTGCCAGCAAAATCACCCACTTCTTCCTATTCATTGCCCCCACATTCCTATTGGGTGCACCTTGCTATAGCTACATCTCACCCAGAAGTCACTTAACTGATAATCCCGACTATCCAGAACCTAGCTGTTAGCCTGGAAGCAAACAAAAAAGACCTATGTACCGCCACATTCATGTCCCAAACATTGTGCCCTACAGGGCATGCACTTCACACCCAAGGGCACATGCAGTCTGCCACTCAGGCTTAGTCATCTCTGGTCAAGAGTAGATGCCAGCTAGAGACATCCCAACTCTGCCACTTTCTAGCCATGCGGGCTTGGTCCTGAGTCTCCTCATGCATAAAATGAGAGCAATAGTTGTCGCTACTTCAGAGTGTGGTTGTGAAGATTAAAGACGATGATGTACTGGGAAAAAGGGCAAAAAGAAAGATGAAAGAAAAAGGTAGAAACTGTGTCCTGAGCAGATCCGAGGTACAAAAGAGAATGGTAGGTAGAACCATGTGATATTTTCAAGAACTTATTAAATAAGACATAATATGCGGTATTTATAAATTCAAGCAACACATTTTATAAGATTTCCTTTAAAACTAGATATAGTGAAAAGTTTTGGTGTTCAGAAGGTAGCGCTACTGGGAAAATTAATGTATGCAAATTTGCATATGGGAATGAGATAATTCTGTGTGTACCTGTGTAGATCTAAAATGCCCCCCAAATTTATAAAACACACATCATGTTTAACAGAATCTAAGATGCTATTAATTGTAAGATGCGACATTTCGTGTATCACTAAGAAAGAAATATTGCTGTTACGATGCCACAGATAGTAAGATGCATCTTGATTTCAGAGCTGTTAAAATGTGAAAGTATGTATGTCTCCAAGTCAATGGAAATCCTAATATGCAATATATGTTTGTTGTGAGAATGTCTCATTTTCCTCTTGAGCAGAAAATATAGTTTTTCTTCATACCCCCTTCCCTACCTTCATCTATGCCAAAGGATCAAAAATCAAACATAACACTTCTTCCTTAACCTGGTGATCACTCTATCTGGCCACTCCAGAAGCTTCCTCTCTCAAGAAGCTGATCCAGATTTTCAGCTCATCCAGAACTAAGCTAAACAAGTCTTAGGTTTACGGGGGTCCTGCTGAGCCACCAGCTTAGCCCCTTGGGGTGAACCTCTTTAAACCAAGTCCAAATTTGCACAGATTGAGTACTCAGCTGAATCCAAGCTGGGGCTTCCAACTCTAGGTTGCCCAGGCAAAAAAGCTACTGGCTTTCTTCTCCCACTTCTCAGCCAGCAGATCCCACAATCAATGACTAAGCTGAAACTGTAGAGCAGCCTCCAACAGCCAACCTCCTCCACAGCCTTCACTGTGGAGCCTCCTCATCAATATACCCCTCCAATAACCCCAAACATGCTTTTGCCCAATACTACCTATTATTCTTGAAAGAAACAAAAGGGGCTCATGAGAGGCAGGCAGGGGAGGCAGAAGTTGTGGCTTCCACTGCAGCTTGGGGAGAGAAGATATTAATCACCCCCCACCCCCATCTCAACTAGAGATAAGAGAGAGAGATTTCTTAAAACCCCTATGAGGCCCAGTATACAAAGACCCAAGCCTTCCTGACCCACAGTCCTGGCCAGTTATGCTTCAAAAAGCAAGTGAGGGTGTTCTGAAGCAGGAAGAGAGAGCTTGACCATTCCACACTATGGTGGCCATGCTGAGGAAGCAGATAAGCCCTTGACACTCTTCTTCTGCAAACACCCATACTTACCTCATTTAATTTTTCCACAGCCCTCTGAGGTGTCTATTAGAGTCCATTATACAGACAGGAAAACAGGCTGGGAGAGGGGCAGTAAGATGCTCTAGGTCACACAGCTGGGCCTGGCTGGAACCCAGGTCTCCTTTCCACATCACACAGAGTCACCAAGCAATGGCTTCATTGTCATCACTCAAGCTTACTCAAATTTTAGAATATGGATTCCAGACCCCACCCCTGGAAAGCTGTACTGTAGGGCCGGGGCCTGGAGCATGTGTGTGTTTTACAAGCTCTGGGAACCAACGCCTTACCAGATGGTCCCAGACCAGGAGTAAGGAAAGCTGGATGGGAAGATACAGAGACCATGGGAGGGAGGAAGAGAAGGGCCATCCAAAAGGGGCCCTGGAAGCAGACCTGGCCTACTTTTAGCCCTCATTTAACCTAAACCCACCCCTCCTCTCTGTACAGAGGCTTGTTAACTCACTAGATACCACATCCTGCTGCTTTCATCTCGCCTTCCTTTTCCCTCTGAACAAACTCCTTCCTCCTACTGACCTGAACTTCTTGCTTATTTACCCCAGCCCTGGGATGGGCCAGCCCGCACGCGCACGCGCAAACACATGCACACATGCACACACAGCGTCACGCAAGGGACAGCCAAGGTGTAAAGATTGGTCCTCTGACAGCGTCGAGCAGTTTTCTAGAAGAGCAGCCACTGTCTGGGGGCCCATGCTCGCTATCAGGAGAGGGCTGAGGCAGGCACTTTCAGAGACTTCATGGCAAAAGACCCGGTGGCTAATGCTTAGAGAGAATTCTCAGGACGAGGGGAGCAGACTCCTTGACTCCGCGACACTTGGCGGCCTGCGAAGGAGTCAGGAAGCTTCGGCCACATTCGGACCGCACAGAGACGGTCCAGCAGTGGCCACCTAGATAACGGTGGACGGTCCCCGGGACGCCCCTTCTGTCTCCGGGATTATTGAGAACGCTAGTGTGCGGAACCCGTGCCTGGGCAGTGTTCCCTATCCACGAAGCCGTTAGACAGCAGGATCTGTCCAGCCTACTCGCTGTAGCCACTGCTCTCAGAGCTCACTGCTCCCCGACGGTTCCCAGCCCTCAGATGAGCCCCACGCGTGCCCTCAGCTACCCTCGTCCCGGCCGCGCGGTCTCACACCTGCAGTCCCTGCCGGGCGCCGAGCCCCTCTCCAGCGGCGATTCCCTGCGATTCCGGTTACGGTCAGGACCACTGCGCGGGGGCTCGAGTTGGGAGGCAGGTCCCGGCATCTGCCCAGGCTCCGCGCCAATGGTGGGCTGGGGGCGGGGACTGGGGCGGGGCCACACTGAAGGGCAGGGCTTTGATTTAGGTCGGGCCCTGGGCGGGGCTGGCCACCCAGCGGGCCTCTCACGCCATCTGGTGGCCGGGCAATGTCCACGAAGTGCCAGTTTAGCACATGTGTCCTCAGAGTCTCGCCGCAGCCCGCCGAGCGCCTATAAAGCAAACCCCAGTTCTGAGTCCGTCTGCCTTCAGAAGGGACAGGCCCTGGAGGGTGGGCGGCCACTGTCGGAAGAGGGATGCCAGCACTGAGCACCAACACCGAAACCCCCAGGAGTAAGGTGCGGTTCCGTCAAAGGAGCGGAAGCGCGGCTTTGACCTCGCAGGAGAGGTGGGCGGAGCAGGAGAGAGACTTGGGGTGGGGGCTTCGGGGAAGGAGGAGAAAGGGGAAGCTCCCACGAGCTGCTTCCTTCTGTCACTGCGACCCAGCGCCCCACTTCCTCCTCCTACTTCTATTTTCTTTGGGTGCTAACATTTAAAATGACTGCACCCCTGCTGTGCAGACGGATGCTTTGACCCTTACCCTTCTGCAGAAACCTTCCTAGAAATTACAGCCAATCCAGACTTTCAGCACTGCTGCTCCAGCCTCTGGTCTGACGTTACCACCTTCTTTCACCAGTGGCTGTCACTTCAGCCATTTTTCAGCCCCTGAAGGGAGAGGGGGATCATCCCTAGAGTCAAGGCCCTCTTCTTGCCTCCCCTGCTCTCCCTACGGACGTCGTAACGGATGTTGTTAAATCAAGAGCTGGGTCACAGAATCCTGGAAGTCACTGCATATCCCTGTACCTCAGTTTCCTCATTTACAAAATGGGGATGTGAAGGTTGGCTTTGCAATGAAAAGAATAGCACTTTACTTCAGGCAGTCCTTGCAATGAAAGAATAGCACTTTATTTTAGAGTTAACAAAGGGCAAGGCTGAAATTTTCACTTCCACTATTGAATGGGACTCTGTGTCACAATATCTGTTAGAGGCGTTCAAAATCAGCCACAAGGTTGTACGTTATGTTGGTCAAAAGCCACAACCCTACCTGAGGCTTTGAGAGATGTGAACACCAATGACTTTTCTTTTCCTGACTCCCTAAATACCAAGAAAAAACAACTTCCCCAAAGGCATAGAAACAGAAAGTACCCTTGGGTGAACACAGAGGACTGGTTCTAGCCTATAGTAAGAGATGGAAAGGAGCTCAGAACCATCTAGTATTTCTCCTCATCTACCACTAAACCCCCACATATGACTATTTTACAAATAAAGAACCAGAGCCATGAAAGACTGTGGGAGGACAAGCCTAAGGTCATATGACTTGATGAGGGTAGGCAAGGACTCTAGTCTCCCCAATCCGTACTTTTCTACCACAAAAAGGAGAAGTGGGGCAGGGAGATAGTTCAGAGGTGGACAGATTAGGGAGGAAGGGGTAGAACTGCTCTAGAATGAGGAACTGAGTAGCAAGAATGACACAGTGTGTACCAGATTGATATCTTGGGTTATGAGATCACTTTGAAAGCTAAAGAAAATGCTAGAGAGGTTATGGCATCCTTTACTTCTTCCATGTCTTTGTTATTCCTAAAACTGAAGATGGAGGAGAGCTGAAGCGGAGTTGCCTGTAAGAGCTCACTACTAGGGATCTGAGCATCCCATGAAGCCCACTTACTTAGTCCTATCCTGCATCCCCTCAGATGTAGGTATTCTCTTCTCCCCTAGCAGGTGTGACCCAGATGTTGAGCTTGCATATTATCCTACCCCTCCCTCAGCTCCACCTGTATCTCCCTGTCCCTCCAGGGCAAACCACCAACCAGGAGATACCATCAGCACCTTACACCTATAGGCCAGAACTTAGAACTACAGCCACCTAAGCACCTTCTTCCACCTTCTACTCCCACCTACCCAAATTAGCTGGTAAGACTCAAGGTGCCTCTGTCATTCATGTGGTGCCCTATTTATACCACATCGTATAGCTCTCCTGTTGCTTCAAATTTGTCTATTTATTATTTCTGTCTTTCCTTTCACTGACTTATATTTTCAAAGATGAGTCTACCCCTGTCTCCACCCCTTCATCTTACATTTATTTTTCAATGCTCTGAAAAAAATCA